GGAGAGAGAGAGAACTGCAATATCAACAAAAAAGGCTTTAAAGGCTGGAGGGGGTGCATGAAAAAAGAATTAAGATGTGTCACGAACCAAACACCCATAATGAAAACAGTCATGCATCACAAACATGTACTAATAAGTAAATTAAAATAAAAATTTAAAAAGAATACTGTGAATTACTTAAATCAGGGCTGGGGATTTAGCTCAGTGGTTCTGGTGCCTGCCTCACAAGCACAAGTTCCCGAGTTCAATCCCCAGTACCAAAAAAAAAAAAAAATTACTTAAATCTGAACATGTATACAAAACAGTGTCCTGGAAAAATTAAATTTACCAAAATTGGCTCAGGAAGAAACAGAAACTGATCATGAGATGGGATAGTAAGGACAACTTTGAATTAAATCTCTTAACAAGTTAGGCCTATGGACACGAAGAGGAAAACTAGAAAAGAAGCATAGAAGCTAACTGGGTGTGGTCGTAATTGGATTTTTATTGTGTGTGAGAGAGAGGAGGGTGGTGGTAGTAGGGGTGGTTTAATTTTGGTTACGCTGAAATGGAGATGCCTTTAAGCTATTAAGTGGAGATGTTAAATATGCAGTTAGATCTGTGGATGGGTGCTTAGGAGAGATATAGTTTAAACATACATATTTGGGAGTTGCCTGTATTCAAATGATAATTAAAGTCACAGGTATAGCCAAAAATAATCTAGCAAGATAAAACATTGGTTCTCAAAGTGTGGTCCCTGGTATTAACTGGGAACTTGACAGATGCAATTCTTAGGGCCCTACCCTGCACCTACTGAACTAGAAAATCCTAAAAATGAGGGCCTGCAGTCTGTATTAACAAGCCCACCAGTGACTATAATTCAGGATACAATTTGAGAACCACTGATAGACAGTAAGAAGTGAAGAAAACTTGAGGCCTTTCCTTGAGAATTTCAACATTTAACAGAGAAAGCTGAGCCTGCAAGAATGGCTAAGAGGAACAGCAAGAGACAGATAAGGAAATGAGGAGTGGGGCCGGGGATGTAGCTGAGTGGTTTTGCCATCTGCTGCGCAAGCACAAGGACCTGAGTTCGATCCCCAGTACCAAAAACAAAACAAAACAAAACAAAAACCCTCAGTGCCTCTGGGGGCTTAAAAAAAAGAAAATGAGGAGTGACGTGAGAGGTTTAGTGTTGAGTACTACTGAGATTCAGTGGTGACAGAGCGGTGAGAAGACTGTGATGAACTGAAATGTAAGACGCTGAGAAGAGCATGCCAGTGAGGACAAACGGTTCTGAGCAGCTTCACCGTAAGACAGCGGCAGGTGAACATGGAAGCAGTTAATAAGGGGAAGATTTTTTTTTTAAAAAAACAGGATAGTAACTAGGCTAACAAACTGCCAAGGAAGGAATCTGACTGTGAGAGAATAGCAATGGCACACCAAGGGGGCAGTGTAGCAGTGTGCCTCAGCAGGAAGAGCGTTGCATAGAGGCAATGTTTAGAACTGCACAAAAGAATAGACCAACTTTTTGTCAGTATTATTACTGCTTTGTAAATTCTCTTTTTGGGGGGGGGGTACCAGGGATTGAACTTGGGACCGTGCGCTTGTGAGGCAGGCGCCAGAACCACTGAGCTAAACTCCTGGCCCGTGCTTTGTAAATTCTCTACAGATCAGTACTCAACACTGTCTGCACCCAGACTGGATGGCTCCCAACGTCCTGTCCTTGGTGCCACTGGGTCACAAAAGGTTGGTGGAAATGGAGGGCTTGGGATGCAAAGAATGGGTGGAAAGACTGTTCTTGACTGAAGAAGCAGATGATCCCTTTAAGTAGAAGGAAGAAGGTAAAAATGGATGGGCAAGGAGGGGTTAGGGATTTAGGTCAGTGGCGCTGTGCCTGCCTCGAAAGTGCAAGGTCCTGAGTTTGATCCCTGATAAAAAAAAAAAAAAAAAAAGGATGGGCATGCCAAGTATAGTGGCGCATGCTTATAATCCCAGCACTCAGGAGGCTGAGACAAGAGGACTGCCAAGAGTTTGAGACCAGCCTGATGAACTACATAGCGAGAACCTGTCTCAAAAAAACAACAACAAAAAAAGCAGCACAGGTGTGGGAAATTTGAAGTCTGGTGGCAGGAAGCTGGAGAAGCTGTCATTGAATGGGTTCTATTTCCCCTGTGGGGTCATCTGCAAGGCCAGCCCTACTGAGAGACAGATGTGTCACACTCTCCTGCCCTACTTTGAACTCGCTGAGCAACCCTATCTTTAGGGTTTAGCTCCAATGTAGGCTTTCCCAGGAGGCAAAAATGTGCTGACAATATAGATTTTTTTTTCTTTGATTTATTTTTATTTTTTGGCAGCCCTGAGGATTGAACCCAGGACCTCACACATGCTACCACAAGTGTTCTACTACACCTCTAGTCTTCTTTTTAATTTTGAGACGGGATCTAAATAGCCTTGGCTGGCTTCAAATGTGCAGGTCTGCTCCTGAGTAATTAGTTGGGAGTACAGAAATGAGTCACTGTGCCTGGCTGGGGCGGGGGGTGGGAAATCTCAGTGAATTTATAATCTAGTTTTTAAAATTTGTTTGTTTTGGGTTTTTGTGGTTTAAAATTTTTTGTAACCTGTTTTTTAAAAACACGATTTGGTTTAACCATATCCTGAGTGCAGACAACAGACAGATCATGGTCCTTTTTGTAGTTACATTTCCTACTGAGTTATTCACTAGGATCTGATTTATTTTGTGTAAAGTGACAAAAGAAAAGCTCTGAACCTTTGGAAGCATGGGACAAATTCAAACTTAAGCAGCAAATCAAAGTAACATCATTTACCCTCCTTGCTTAGTAAACACTGACTTTTATTAGCTGTCACTGGCCCAAGTTCTACCTCTTCCATCTCAATTCATTTCTACATCCATCTTTTTTTTTTGGGGGGTACCGGGAATCGAACTTGGGTCCTTGCGCTTGTGCTTGCCCAGCAGGCGGTGAAACCACTGAGCTAAATCCCCGGCCCCCTACATCCATCTTTTCATTAATGTGTTTTAAACTGGCTGTCACTGATATAGGGGAGGTACAGTCAGTACTCTGTGGGTTCCACATCCATAGATGTGGATCCCACCTGAGATAGAAAATACGTGGGGAAAAAAACCTGTGTCTGGATCCAACACACACAGAATTTTTTCTTTTCACTATTTCCTAAACAACATGGTACAACTAATTATATCATTTGCATAGTATTAGATATCGTTAAGTAATTTAGAGATGATTTAACATATTCAGGAAGGTACGGATTGATCACATGCAAATACTACACCATTTATATAAGCAACTTGAGTGAGGATCCTTAAATTTTGATATCTGCAGGGAATCTGGGAGTCAGTCTTCTGCAGATATTGAGGGACAACTGTATTTCCAAGAACCATGCAGGAAATAAAAGAGGTGGAATATATTGGTATGCCATCAATTATTTGTTTATTCCATTATTCACTCAACAAATACTTATAGACCATAAATCCTGTGCAACGCCTAACTTGACAACCATGGGAGACCCAAAATCCTGACAGTATTTAAAACCCAGTAATAAAGCAATTAGTTCCACAAAGGACAGACAGAATTAACAGAAGAATATATCTTCTGCAGGGGGAAACCATAAAGGAAGAAAAAATATCTTACCGTAAAAGTGGTTATGGGAGAAACTGGCTGTCAAAGGAAATCTTGGAAATCAGGGTAATTTTTAAAATATAATGACTGAGACCAGGCACAGCAGCACAGCGGCACATGCTTGTAATCCCAGCTACCTTGGACACTCAGGCAGGAGGACCGTGGGTTCAAGCCCAGCCTGAGCAACTCCGGAAGACCCTGTCTCAAAATAAAAAGGGCTGGCCAGGGGTGTAGCTCAGTGGTTCTGCCACCTGCCTTGCAAGCCAAGGACCTGAGTTCGATCCCCCATACAAAAAAAAAGGAAGATAACTTTGGGCCAGGTATTTAGCTCAGTGGTTCTGGCGCCTGCCTCACAAGCACAAGGTCCCGAGTTCGATTCCCAGTACCAAAAAAATAATAAATAAGTAAAATAAAATAAAAAGGGCAGGGAGTGTAGCCCAGTATTAAGAGTACATGAGTATAGGGGCCAAGGATTTAGCTCAGTGGTTCTGTCACCTGCTTTGCAAGTACAAGGACCTGAGTTGAATGCCCAGTACCTGGGAAAAAAAAAAAAAGAGTACACTATTCAAAAAGAGGAATGAGAAACAGCCTTGCTTAGAGGCAAAGGCATGGCAAATTCTTTGGAATTAAATACAAAAATATTTAATTGGGTGTGGCAGCCTATGCCTATAATCCCAGCACTCAGGAGGCTGAGGGAGAAGGAGTCATGTGAGTTCAAGACTCAGCTGGGCAATACAGCAGGACCTTGTATCAAAAAAACAAAAACAAGGGCCAGGGATTTAGCTCAGTGGCACCTCGCCTGCCTGGCAAGCACAAGATCCTGAGTTCGATCCCCGGTACCAAAAAAAACCCTCCACAAAAGGGACTCTGGACCTTCACATATTTAAAGAACTTGGTAGTCTCTTTATAGAAACAATAAGGTGGGCTGTGAATTAAATCCTCAAGCTTATTTGGGGTCCTGGGGATAAATCCTCTAGTCCTCCAACCCTTGAGGTACCCTATAATACCAGATCTATGCTTCCTAACTTGCTTTCCTTGCCCTACTCCATCGAAGCTTATGCTCTGGCACAAGTAAGACACAGTTTTTCCATGGCCTGGAATTGTCTGGCATTGAATCATCTCAGTTAGTGGTTCATATGATACTGCCCAAGTTCTGTATAAATGATCTTATGATCTTGGATATTTTAAAAGTGCCTACCACACAGAAGATGCTCAATTAAGATTCATTTCCTCCTTTCTTTCCTTCCGTTTTTCTCTCCAGTGGTGAGGAGGGAAGAAAATATAGGAACAAACAAAAGATCCCTTGTAAGACAGCACCTCTCTAGTATAAAAATACTGAAAAAGTGGAAATCACTTCTCAGTGCCTACCTTGTGTCTGTGGGCTGTATGGAGACAGGAGTTTGGACCTTTTCTTTTCATATCCCTTCTGTGTGATGTCCCCTAAAATAGCAAGAAAATAGAAATGGGTTATGCATTATTCTTATTCTTGATGGTTCACTGTAAAAATAAAATTAATTACAGAGTGTTACAGAACTACCACACAGAGTAGGGGGAAAATGTATGGTTCTTTGCCAAAATCTTGCTAAGCAATTTCCCACAGGCTTGGAGTTGACTTGTGGGAAATCACAGGGCTTGTCCCTACACCATCTTGCTATCCATCTGCCTCATATCATGGCAGAGATTCCCTAGGTCCCCTGGTATTTAAGATATCCCCAAAACAGAATTCCGAGAGGCATTTGAGAGGCAATGATTTTTCTCTAGAAGTTTCAGTTTAAACAAATAAGTGCAACTGGTTTGGGAGGCCTTTATTCTCTAATACTACTATAGTGAACCACATAAAATCAAAAGTTTCGTTAAAAGAAATAGTAAAGCAAATGTGGTGGCACATGCCTGTAATTCCTATAACCAGAACTCAGGATAGTGAGGCCGGAGGATCACAGGTTTTAAGGCCAGCCTTAGCTACAGCAAATTCAAGGCCAGCCTAAGCCATAGTAATGATACAGGGGAAATAATATAACTCTCAATCTACTAGATGTCAGATATGCTGAATCTGTGTTCTCTAAAATTGAAGAATGAATTTTAAGAAACGGTGGAGGTTATGAATAGGAAAAGTTTATTAAGAAAGATAGCTCCTGGGGTGGGGATTTGGCTCAGTGGTGCCGCGCCTGCCTTGCAAGCATAAGGTCCTGAGTTCAATCCCCGGTACCAAAAAAAAAAAAGAAAAAAGAAAAGCAAGATAGCTCCTCAGAGACAGGAGGGGACCCAAAAGTGGGCTGCTGCAGACCCCACTTTACAGAGAAAGTTTTATAGAGTAAAATCACAAGGTGGGTACAGCGTGGGTCAAAACTATGATCAACCAATAAGATTATAAGTATAGTTTTAGTTTCCCCTTCTATATTTTCTAATTTTCCTACAATGAATATTATTATTATTATTATTATCATTATTATTATTATTTGGTACTGGGGATCGAACTCTGAATATTATTATTTAAGGAAACAAATATTTTAAAATTTCAATCATGACTACTTATTAAATTATACAAATTTAATCACAATGGCCCTTCATCTCTTTTTCTGCATTGAAATTCTTTTCAATATTGTGGTACTGGAAATCGAACTCAGAACCTTGCACTTGCCAGGCAGGCGTGGTGCCACTGAGCTACATCCCCAGCCCTGAAATATTTTTTTTAAAGATCCAACTCTTTTCAAATTAGCCAAGAGTTTAGGTAATCTCAATACACAAGAAGGACAGGAATTTACCACCAAGTAAACTTTCATTAGCAACGGGAGCTATGTTTTTTTTATTGTCAAATGGGCCATTCTATTCTGCTCCCCAATCACATGCTTTTCTGCCTCTTTCCCCTCTCCCCCTCTTCTCCTTGGGAGGGGCACAAAGACCACTCTACTGGCTCAGAACACATCTGACAAAGTAAAAGGCCTTCAAACAGCTTTCTTCAGTGCTTACAGTCTCAGTCATTCACAAACCCACATGTACACTTGGAAGGGTAGCTGCGCCCAGTGGTGTGCAGCACCTGACAGGTGTACTGGTACATAATTTTACAAGAGGATCCTGACCCAAACGACAGAGACAAGCCGTGAGCAATTTGGAACCCACATAACTTGAAACAGTCCAGTGGTGTCGGCGCTATCACAATTTTTTGTTTTTGTTTTTTGAGACAGGGTCTTGTTACATAATTCAGGCTGTCCCTGAATTTACTATGTTGCCCAGGCTGGCCTCAAACTTGTAGGGATTCCTCCTGCCCCAGCCGAGTGCTGAGATTATAGGTGTGCACCACCACACCTGGATAAGCCTATCTAATCTTGAATCGCCAATGCCAGGCACATGAAAGTATGCACACCTTGGGTGGTGCTGAGAGGAATTATGTTCTCAACCTCTCCTCACCACTTAGGAACAACAGGCAGCTTGACACAGCAGCCCACAAATAGGCTGATGGACAGTGTGGCGGGGGGGGGGG